CAAAGGTTTAACATCTCAAAGTTGTCATTCACTTCAATGTTCTGAAGAGTCCTGCTGGGGAATGATCCGGGTAACATCATCGGCAGATTCGTAGGTATGTCCGTAGGTTTGGATGTTCCTCTGGTCCCCTGGTATCATTCGGCAGTACGGGTAATGGTTGTACGATGAGGAAGGCAATAAGGGCAAGACCTTTTTGTCACAGTATTGCGCGGCCAACCTGGACTGCATCGTGTTGGAAAACGGTGGCAAAAAGGACTTGGCCTACACCTACGGAGAGGAGGAATTCGTTGTGTTTGACTTCACCAGGAGCATGGCAGAGAACATTAACTATTCGTTTATTGAAGCTTTGAAAAATGGAAGGATCTTTTCTTCCAAGTACGAAAGCCATGTGAACATCTTCGACCCAGCGAAGGTTATGTGTTGTGCCAATTTCCTACCTGATAAGGACAAACTCAGCGAAGACCGCTGGATGATCTGGGGAATAAAAGACAAAGACAATTTTGAAATTCTCGATTGATTTGAATTTATTGTTCAGTTTACATAATTAAAATATTCAAAGGTTTAACATCTCAAAGTTGTCATTCACTTCAATGTTCTGAGAGTCCTGCTGGGGAATGATCCGGGTAACATCATCGGCAGATCCGTAGGTATGTCCGTAGGTTTGGATGTTCCTCAGTCCTCGAAACTGGTAAGTGTAGGTAAACTGTGCAAACAAATCAACAGCAGCAGACATGTCTTGGATCCAGTACTGAACTCCGTTCTGGAACTTCTGGTTGGCTCGGAGTTGTTGACAATCCAACCAAGGGGAATCGGAGCCAACGGCAACCACAGCGCCGTTCATTTTAAAGTCAAGTTTAGGCCAGACTTTCAGAGTAACAGCCTTATAGGGCTTAATAAAACGGGTTTTTCCACGACATCTGATGAAATCTCCTCGGCCTTTAAAAGGTTTGCCAAAACAATCGGGGTCGTAAACCGTAGTAATGGAAGGGATTAACAGTAGAAGTAGCAGTAGAATTCATCCAAATTTTCTGGGTAATTTGAGTACACTTCCATTGGTCGTACATCTGACCATATATCGCCAGGCAATCATTAGCAACCATATTATCATAAACGTCCTTAGGGTTGAAAACCAGTACATTCCTGTGGACATCACTCCCGATGTTGGCAGTCATCGAAATTGGGAGGGTCGAAAAAGATCTGGTAACGGTTTTCTTGGTCATGGGAGCACGACGACGAAAGACTCTCCTTCGGCGAAATACCCTTCTTCTAGTAGTTCTTCTTTTTCTGTAACGGGTAGGGAATCTTCTATAACGTCGAAAAACCCTCGCCCTCTTCCTATACGGGCGAACAGATCGACGGCCAAACGGATAAGATCGCTTACCGAGAAAAGCCATGTGTACATGTGAACGTCAAGATGGCGACTGAGGTTTGGCGGGTTTCCCGCAACGCTCACGCGAGCCAGTTCTAAAGATGACGTCACAATCTGACGTCATGAAAACCTGTCAAGACATGTCTGAGAGCAATGGCGGGAATTTGAGAGTAATCTCCCTTGTATGCGTCACCAAATATGGAAGTCGGGGGGCTCAAGC